CCTACTATATATAGGAACTTTGGAAATTGACTCAGAAACTAATGACGAAAAATAAATTGGAAATGGTATCAATCATATTCATTTGTACAACTTGAGTCAGTATTCTCCAGTTTTTAATTTGTCCAATTATTCGCTCCACATGAATTCGTGATTTGGCAATTTTTTTCGTCATTATCTCTTCTTCTGCAGTAAGCCTGTCTCTACCAGCCAGAAAAGGTGGAGTTAATAATATATAACTTTCTCTATCACATATCTCTTGAATAGTGAATCCCCTATCAGCTAGAATAACGTCTCCATTTTTTAAAAAGTATTTTATGTCAGATTTCTCAAATAAACTCTGATCTGATATGGATCATTCGAAACCATCACTAATGTGGATCAAGGCCCCAGTTGGGCTGATTCCAATCAAGAATTTGATAGTGTTGAAGTGCTTATAATTTGAATGTGTATTTCCTTGTCTCTGGAAGTTTAAGGACATTTCTACCTTGATTTCAGTGCTGTCTAGAACAACTGTCACTATTTCAGGAAGAATTTTGAAACAATATGGAATTTTTGCTAATTCTCTGGAACAGTTAAATATGTCTCCACGCAAACCTACACATTGTAAATACTGAAATTGTATCTGTGTATAGAATATGGCAGAGGCATATGTTTGGCTAATGCCACAAAATAAAGACATTTCTTTAATTGTATATCCTCTTCATAACCTCACCAATGTCAGGACCACCTTGTCCTTATTAGATAGCTTGTACATTTTGTGCATATAAATTGGGGATCTATTTTTTCTCCTACAATATTTCAGATGATTCATGACGGATGGATCTAATAAATTGAAATATGCTTCAAAATGTTGAATTGAAAGGCCAGTGAAAAATTTGAAATGCTTGGAAATTTTTAGTCTGTTATAACTGAAATAATTAACAGGAGAATTATCATCAGATGTTTCAGGAATCACATTATTTGTATGGAATCTGCTGTTGATGTGGTAGGAATGGTCATTGATTGAGTTTGTGCTTATTTCCAATGAGATTTCATTTTCAGACATAAGTTTATCATCTTCAACAATGTCTATGTCCATTGGATCATAGCTACTTGTTTCAGTGCCGATATCTACGGATGCAGCAATATTAAAATCTGATGAATTGAAATGACTTTCCTTGCAAGAAATTGGATAGCTACAATCATCATCCACAAAATGTGCTGAACATACATATATATTCTTGTTAATATTTTCTATTTGCAATATTTCATTGCCACATGCATCAATCCATCTTAAACAGTCAGCAAGTTTTCGTTTTGGTTTTGGAAGAGGAATATACGAAACACTAGCAGATCTCTTTGATTTAGAACTATTTTCACATCCCTTATAATAACACTTGGGCATATTGTTTTGGTTTCCTGAACACGAATTTGAAGAGGGGATTCTTGAAAAAAGGAGTATGATCAATCCGATCATATAACAATAAATAGTAATGCTTTTCCTTTTTATTATTTTGAAAAATTAAATGTAAACATAAACACCCAAACTAAAGGTTAGAATAGTCTTCTTCTAATTTTTTTGTGTTACCAACATGAAAAAAAGTTTTCATTATTTTATGTTGGATCCCTGAAGACAAGGGCAGAAGGGGAATACATTTTTTTTTCTCTCTCAACGGTAGCTGAACTGCTCTATTGAAATATTTTTTATGGATTCATGAATTGTGGAGACCAAAATCACTTTTCAAGAACATTTTGATCTTCAATCAAGACATTTCACATTTAATTTTCAATTAATAACAGATCTGTATAAGCACCCTTATGATTAATAATTGTTGATTGTTAATTCCTAATGGGCGTGTACACCTTAGTAGAACTTTTAACTCAAACCATGTTTATAATGATCCTTTCATACATAAATAATGATTGACGACATAATTCGATCGAAAAATTAACTGGAATGTTTTATTTTTGAACATAAATAATAGTACCTTCTGAAAACGGACCCTCTTATGACGTAGAAACCTCATCTCATCTCGCCATAGTTAAAAGAAAATACCAAACGCCCGACGGAGATTGAGACAACTGATATATTAATTCTTTCAACTGTGATATCGCGCTGATTTACTCTGTCAGAAATCATGTATCATTCATCTCTGTCTGGAATAGTCTTGTTTCAGTATTAGGGTTTTGACGTCACATCATCGCCTCGTTTTCAGAGGTCTGAAAAATCGGGGATTTCAATAATGTTTTATAAAACTTAGGGAGCTCACAGCAAGAAACGGTTTGCGGTAGTGAGCTAGTTTGGGTGAGTTCTATGGAATTATGAAATATTTTTTTTTTGTGATATAACCTCATTGTTGATTTAAATGAATGTATAAACCCGGCATTACTATTTGGTACCTCTCTTCCTCTGAATTTCATGATCCTACCAAGGATCTTGCCTTAATGAGAAAGTGCTTCCATCAGAAGGTGGGACAAACTAGAGTTCCTAAAGGTACTTGACTTTGCTGTTTTGACGTTTTATGTATATCAGAGTAGGGACACTACGACAAGCACTGACAATCAGACATAACCACAAATAAATTGATGGAAAAAGCGGGAACTGACAGTACATGACATAAATTTCAAAGGTTTGACAAATTGAGAAAAGTAGGAGAACTCTATTAGAATTTCCATGGGACAACGGAATTCTACAAAAATTGAAACAGAATATGATGTGGCTGGCATGGAATATAGGTTCAGGCCACAAAATTTGCGAGGTATTCAAATTTCTTGGTAGGATATAGAACATTTTTAAACGCATATTTATCAGGTACACCCCAGAACGGAAGATTTGATATTGAAGAATAGGATCGTATTGAGAGAAAGAGCCAAACCCACAGTTTTTAGAGCAGGAATATTCTAAAATCCAAGGTTTACAAGTGGAAGAAAGTGAGGAATTCCGGAAACAAATAGAAGAAAAAAGAGACAGTTGGAAAATAAGTCCAAGCAAAAAGATTTAGATACAAAAGTCAGAACTATTACCTAAAAATTATTTCAGATTTGAAACAAAATCAGCAATAGGTTCAGGCCACAAAATTTGCGAGGTATTCAAATTTCTTGGTAGGATATAGAACATTTTTCAACGCATATTTATCAGGTACACCCCAGAACGGAAGATTTGATATTGAAGAATAGGATCGTATTGAGAGAAAGAGCCAAACCCACAGTTTTTAGAGCAGGAATATTCTAAAATCCAAGGTTTACAAGTGGAAGAAAGTGAGGAATTCCGGAAACAAATAGAAGAAAAAAGAGACAGTTGGAAAATAAGTCCAAGCAAAAAGATTTAGATACAAAAGTCAGAACTATTACCTAAAAATTATTTCAGATTTGAAACAAAATCAGCAAACTATTTTTGAACTTTTGAAGGTTATAATATGTTCTTTGAAATATTTCCTTTGGCAAAGAATTCCAAGGCTTTGCCAGGAGTTTCCATAAATCTACATATTTCGAGGCTAATGACAAAAGGATGTGCTAACTGGGCCTGTCGAGTGTACATCTGACTCTGGTTATTGCTTGTGATGGAATGATGGAGCAGAGATTACAATAGCCACCATGGAGATCATGGTTGATCATCTGATGATGAAACAGCAGCAACTTCCTGAATTGACTGACTCAAACAGATTTCACATCCCTGTTCAATAAAGAATTCTTCAGATCATATTTGTTTATAATTATTTTGTGAAAACATATAGTCACTTTGTGAAACTCTGATGTACCAGATATTGATGTATCTATATTCTATATCAAAGAGTTGAATATATTATTGGTGAACGTTTCTTCAAAGTTGAAATCTCAAGTCTGAATGTGCATATTCATGCATAGTACTAGAAGCATTTCAAATTACAATATTCCATATCATAGGTTAGCCTGTTTTGAGAAAAGGGCTCTATACTCATGTATAAGATTCTTTAATCATTACTTCTTATGTAATCTGGAACCCTATTCTATTGATGATTATTTTGAGCAGTGCCTGGATAGTGCAGCAGGTTCAGATGTTTTATTATGTATCCATTTTTTGTCCTATTTCTGAATGTTAACTGTGACTGGCTTGTGTATATTACCAATGTATTTGTTATATGTTTGTAATATGTATAATTTAAGTGCAATACATTATTATCATTATCATTATTATTAGTTGAGAAGTGCTAGACAACTACATAGCTCCTAGTGGATTTTGAAATACTTCTTGGGTACCAAGATAGGAGCAAGATATTAGAGCACAGAGCACAGAACAAGAATGCTTAGCAAGTGCACCATTCATGTTAGATATTGAAAATCATCTTGCAATGGCCAGGTTCAAACCAACAATCCCCAGCTGTTATTGTTGCCATATCATTTGTGCATTTATTAATCACCTATTACCTACCACTCTTGTACAAGTGAAATTGTTTCATAGGAAATAAAAGTATGTTTCATTGGTTGAAATTCATCAGTTTTAACCCCATTCTGAACTTTTGTGATAAAAAAATATTCAACTGAACCCTGGACTGAACATATACCCATAGGAAAAGTATATGTATTTCATTGGTATATGTACATACATACCAATTTGATATTGACCTCCATTGAGGTCCTTCAGCCTTATCATTTACATTTACACACTAGAGAAGACCCTATGCACTCTCATACAAAAATCAAAGACAGAGAAAGATATATGGATGTACTCTTCCCAGGACTTGTAGAGGAAGGAAGATGTGAGGATCCTTTATCTAAGTGAAAAATATATTCTTGTCCTTGTCTGGCAAAACATATAATTTGCTCCAAATCGTTTGGGGTTATGTTTGATTGTCACTGCTTGTCTAGTGTCCATACTAAATATACAAAAAACATCACAACAGCAGTGACAAGTACATTTAGGAACTCTAGGACAAACTATTACAGGTAAGTAAGTACCTACCTATATTCCACCATTACTTGGCCCATTTTCAAATTCAAGCATCAAAAGAATTTGTGATCATCTATAGAGAAAAAAGTTGTACCTGTGGGTAGATTATAATTTCTGGAAGATCCTCCAGACATTGCCTCCAATTCTGCTTGGACTTCTTCTTTATCAACCCAAATTGGGTCATCATGATTTGCACCTTTCTTCCTCTTTCTCTCTGGTGATTTATGAGCCGCTGTTAAGCTGAATATTGTACCTTTATATTCACCTGCATTTCTCAAAGCATTTTGAAAACCTTCTTCCTCTTGATATTCTACTGTGCATATTCTCGATTTTGACTTGAAAATCACCCTTTTCAGCTTGCCAAACTGACGAAAATATTCTTTGGCCAAGTTTTTATCCAAAATAAAGTCAGAAGGATAATCTTTACATCTGAAAAAAAATTCCAGGTGAAACTACCTACAGAATTCCTGCAAAAAATGATTATTTGCCAAATGCTTACAGTATCTTGTTACTTGAATGAGAAGACATTTTTATTATGGTTGGGTTTGAAACTTCCAGATTATATATTAAGGTACATTGTCATAATTCTTTCATTCATTTTGGATTTTGGGAAATAATTAAACTCATAACAACTCATAACTAGAGTTCCGAAATGAAATTGACACTGTTTTGAGTGAGTTTTGAGTACGGACACTATGACAAGCACTGACAAGTGACAATCAGACATAACCACAAATAAATTGATGGAAAAAGCGGGAGCTGACAGTACACGGACGTACATGACATAAATTTCAAAGGTTTGACAGATTGAGAAAATTAGGAGAAAGATGCAAGTTTGTGCAGTTTCCAGCTGTGAGAACACGGGAAATCAATTCACTCTATTCGAATTTCCATCGGATAGCATAATTCAACAAAAGTGGAATGATGCGGCCAGCATGGAATATATACAGTGTGACCCACTTCTAACGGAACCACCCCTGAATCTTACGTAATCGTTGGGTAAGGATCCTGAAATTTGCTGGAGCGAGAGATATATCAAAAATGCACTCTATGACCAAGTGGGGTCGTCTTCAGTGATATACACTGCTCGCCAACAGCCATGAAACTACCCCAATTTCCGGAAAATGATATCAGGAGTCAAAATAGGTCGAAAATCACTTCAGATTTGGAATCAGGACGCCCAATTTACAAACTATTCAAATTTTTCCTGGAAAATATTCAGTTCGGAAAAATGAAATTTTGTCGCATTTTTTATGGAAGCACCCCCGTATCTCACGTAATTATTGAGGTAGGGTTCTGAAATTTTCCGGAGGAAGAGAAAGTCCAAAGATAAAGTCAATTACTTTTTCTCCTCTTTCATCTTCCTCTTCAATGATACCAACGTAGCCGCGTTGAAATATAGGGATTTCCGATAAATCTGTTCTTGTCTAACATTTAATTTATGCCACTGAACTATTTTTGAATTCAGCAGAGAGTCGAATTAAACGATATTAACGAATGATGTCAAAATAAGTATGATATATTTCGAATTTTCATTTTAAACATTCGAAAGGTTATTATAGTCAATGACATTTATGACATAGACATGTCACATCATTATAACATCGAAAATAGTTCAGTGGCGCAGAGTAGACGTTAGGCAATGAAAGCTTTATCGGATCTTTCTACATTTCAATGCGGCTTCGTTGGTAGCACTGACGAGAAAGATGGAAGGGAAGAGAACTTTCCTTCCTACCGTTCGAGGTAGAAAAGAGCTTAATCGTGTTCATAATAAGGGCGCCGTACATTATGCTATTTACCAGCAAGTTCGATGCAATGCAATTTTGAATCGAACAATGCGCATGCCGCATGCGTCTATGATATTTCACCGCAAGTTTCATGCAAGTTTCGTAATAGAACCAGTCCTATTTTTCCTGCAATTTCAAGGCAAGTTTAGTAAAATTTTTAGTAATATTCATCGTAGCATCTTGATAAAATACAAATGTTCTCCATAACGTGGCCTCAAACACCAAATAACCTCAAAAGGTACATTGAAGGCTCAAAAAAACTGAAAATAGTAAAAATGAACAAGAAAATATGACAGAAATATCTCAATGTACGGCGACTCGCAATAAATTGAGAAAATTGCGAGAAAATTGCATTGCCTCAAACTTGCCGAGAAATAGCATAATGTACGGCAAATACGGCGCACTTAAGACCATCGAACATCAATTTTCAAACAAGAGAAGTGCCTAAATCTTCTGAACCATTCCACTTACAGCATGGCGTCAGCCAACTGTGATCATTTGTGTAGTGGTTCAGGCCTTAGATAGATCATACAGGGTTTAGGCTTGCAAGGATGTTTGTCCTTCTTCCCGAGACCTCAAGGGTCTTGTTAATAATTCTAAGTTTTTCTACGAGCGAATGCGCATGCGTCCATTATGTATCACGTGATTTACTGTGACCAATCTTACAATGAGGTTTGGGAATATATGTTCGAAAACTATAGGCTCTTGTCAGATCAATGATTGCGTCAGACAAGTTGATGTTCGATGATAACGCAGCAAATATTAAACTAGCGGGAGAAGTCCGGCCTAGTGCAGGCTAGTCTGGGAAAGTGACGATGCAGGGGTATTGGTAATGGGCCGATGATTTTCCTATGCCAAGTAACCATCAGTTAAAAATACGATGATGGCCTTGTGATGGTAAGATGTCTGGAACTAATTGAATACTTACGAGATCTGGCCCTTTGCTGACCAATTTCATGTCCGCTACTCATCCCTCTGGTGGACGTTCTGGGAACGTCTACATCAACAATCAGCTGATCAATATTATATGTGACTAAGATGGCGGACTCTCGTGAGTGGTGATCGCGTACTAGTTTCTTAATGTCGAATCAATGTGGTCATCTCTTTCCCTGGTGGTTATTTATGATATGGCAGGAGTAATTTCTCAATTGATAATAATAGAAGACGGATTCTTTGACTATGATAATATTGAGTAAGTATCAATCTACCTACATAGTGTTTCGGATTCCATTATTAAATGCATGTGTTTGGTTATCTCGTAATCTCATATACCTATAATGATCATATTATCATAATAATTGGAGTTGGCTATACTTCTCCAAAATCAACTATCATTTTTAACTAGTTTGTTGCTATCAAAAGCAATCTCAGGTTATGTGAACCTATCTCTATATTGAATAACTAAATAGCAATAAGGTTTCAGCTACAGAAATACATGTGCCAAGAAAATAATGAGAATTGGAAAGCTCCATGTTATCACGTCATCAGACTATATTATCAAGTTATGAACTCATGCAACTCATAGGCAACTAATATAAAACAAATGATGCATTTTATATTTCAGAAGTACCTCACAACGAAGAATCAACTTTGAAGGAATGCTACCCAATAAGATATAAATACCACATACCAACCAGTAAGCATCTCCAAGAAGTTTCATCGTTGAAGAACAGAGAGGTTGAGAAGATATCATTGTGTCATTCATAAAATTGTTTTTGTTGAAATCTGGTATATGTCTCATTCATGATGGGAGGGTTATATCATGAAATAAAGAGGTACTAGAACTTTCAGATCCATTGGACCCCTAAAACCCCTACCCCTCCGCCCCTACCTCGATAATATAAACAATGTCGTTAATTGGCCATTACAGTCCCATCATTTATGTATATGCTGGGCTTGCTATGGGAAACTCAATGTGTCGATTATGTTGTACTGGCCTTTTGCCGGGGAACTGAATAGGATTGCTGGGTACCCAGCACTGGGACCAGCTGCCGGCCGCAGTATACTGATATATAGAGTCCCGCATATGGGACCATTTACTGGGCCGCTGATGTCAGGTATGGGAAAAATATATTAGGCCACTGATGCCCCATATCAAAATGTTTGCCGGGAAGATTGATAAGACTTATGAGGTAATATGAGGAAGGAGAATATCTCTTCTGTATGAAGAAAAGAAGTACTTTCAACCTAATTTGTCCTTGATGAACCTTCTGCCTGAAAAGGATGTTAAAAAAATCGACGCCTCGCAAGGATTGGACCATAGACAAATCAAAAGTTTCTCTATGGATTGGACCCAGTCAGTCAACACCATGGAAGTCAGATACACAGACAACTAAGCTATGCTTAAGCTCTACCCGTAGTAGTCGTTTTCTGGTTACATCTGGTTAAGATGCCTATCACATCGGCCATGTGCGAGAGAATGCTTTTGTCAGCGTGTAACTCGATTCCCGATTTGTCACAGTAAGGATCCCAGCAAACACAGATACATCACAGAGATATCGCAGCGATGTAACAATGGTGACCTGCGATATCGCATTCTATGTCGCATAGACGTCGCTGCGATGTCAGGGGGATGTTATTTTGTCCCACTCAAGTTTCCTCGATGCGACGTCCCTGCGATAACTTCTCTGCAATATGACAGCGATATATTTTTTGCAATGTAATTGCGATATGTTATTTGTGATGGCAAAGCGAAGTGTTTTTGCGATGAATCTACCAAGTGATGCGATATTACATCGCAGGGATGTATACATATGACATCGCAAGGATGTATACATATGACATTGCAGGGATGTATACATATGACATCGCAGGGATGTAAACCTATGACATTACAGCGATGTACATTTATTACGCAGAGATGAGGTAATATGTAGGAAAAAATGTCAGGGAAGAAAAGTCTGATGAAAAAAATATAAATAAACATTTATTTTCAATATACAATGAACAAAACAAAATATGAGAGGTGATTCTCCAACAAAAAATATAAAAGTTATGGAATCCATGTTATTTCCTATCGTTTCTGGACATCACATTTGGACAACATTTTATAAATTTAATATATATATAATATAATATAAATATTAGCTCTAGTCGAGGCTTTAGTAGAAATTATCACATCATTGTCATCTGCTGCAACTCCTTCCTCAGAAACAAATTCTGAGAAAATTTCAGCACCAGCTCTCATGTTTCCTGAAGAATCCATTAATGCACAGGCGGCGTCAGAGACAGATGAATAATTGTTTGGACTACCATGATCGGATATATTCAAAATACCAGATATTTCCATTATAATTCGTCTTTTATGACGATATGAGTAAGATGAAAAGGGACGCCTTGACATGGTTTCAAGTTCCAAGTGATTCCAATTTCCAAGTGAAAAATGAAAATTTATTTATACTCACCCCGGCTTTTAACTCTACTACTACAAACAGGAACACCAAGCGTGCTGGTGCCGTGTGTGCCGTGAAACGAAACGATGATGAAACGGAAACGACGCTAATAAAATACCTTCAGTGTTAACTGTCAAGTTCCAGTGTCACGACTGAGTCACGACTGTCACGAGTCACGACCAGTGTTACCACAATCTTCTTTTTGATCGAGGTAGATTCCTTGAACGAAGCGGTGTAGAACGATTTCGGAACGAGGTAGCTTCAATTAAATTTGATCAGCGACTTAAGTGAACTGTTTCGCTATTGTATTCATCCTGTCTCATAATTGAGCTCAAAAATACATGCGGAATTCTCGCGAGGGTAAAATGATATCGGCAACCTTGGACGGACCTACGGACTATGCGAAATTCGAATATTGTATTACTCGTACATCGCAGCGACAGAACATTCGTATAATATCGAAGTGC